AGCCGCCCCCCCCCGTAGCCGCCTGTCCTTGGGGGCCCGTGCAGTGCTCCCGAGAGCCCAGACCGCACAGAGGGAAAACTGGCAAGAGTTGGCAAGGCCTCTTTTAAATCAAGTCCTTTGTAGCAGGCTCATAAGGGGGGTTTTGTTTAAGTCTGTGGGACAGATAACGTCAGGGGCTTTACTAAATGAAACTGGGAGAAATTCTTACTTCCAGTGAATCTTACTAAGCTACGTCTTGATGAATGGTGTTGCTCTGAAGTTCTATTTTTGTTCAAAATTCTCGTTCTCCCAAGTTACGTAAATAGTTCTTCATATACGTCCAAATTCTGTCTGAATGGAATCATAAAGTAACGCTACGAGAAGCATACGTTTCTGTTTTCTTTCATGTCTGTGCCACAGTAATTCTCAGTTGCTGTTGCTGATGGACATAAATTGCTGTACAGTTATCTATCACTCTGTTGATTGTGTTCCTTTATCAAACGGCATACGGACTTACCAGGATGCAGTACAGGCAGGTAAAGTATATTTATAGCAGTCAGTACTTTTAACAGCAAGCAAAGAATGTAAATAAATCCAAAACAAGTGTTCATTCCCCAGCTTCCTTCTTTGTATCTTTTCATCATCATTTATAGTCTGTATCTAAGGGTCTAATTATAGCGGCTTGGGTTGCTAGGCAAAAATTTGGTATTTTGGGAAACTTCCTGTTCACGGTACTTCTGAAAACCAATCCAAAGCCGTTTCCTAATAGTCCGTTTACTGTGTCAGTTAAACAAAATTTTGCATCGTTAAGAAGCAGTTACTGCAAAAAAAGTAGGCATTATCTCTGCTCTATAGCTGACCCATCATCACTAACTCCATTTTGCTAATCTGGACAGCACCTAAATGACTCCTAGTCTTCTTCCCTCCTTTGGAAAAAGCACCCCAAAATCCCGTGTGTGTTTTGGAATAGTGTTAGACTTTGCCACAAATAATAATAAAACCTCCTGGAAAGGCTTAGAAAAGGTGGTCTTAGAAAAAATGCACAGTGACAAAAGAGGAAATTACTTTTTATTTTATCTTCATGCTGAAGTGTATCTGATTATACAAAGTATTTAAATGTATTGGTATGCATAAAACTGAAACAGTAGCATGCGTGCCGTTTTGATTGTAAATTGTGTCAAGATCACCATTGCATCTGCTAGAAGAATCCTCAAACTGTGAGAGATAATAACCTATTTTTTGTGTCTTTGATGATAAAATCCTAGATTTTCCTCTCAGGATAGTTTTTTGAGTTCACATCAATCAAGACATCACTTTCTTTCAAATCTTCTCCAGAGCTAGGAGAAGAGAAAAGGTATAACGGTGTTATTTAATCCTGGTTTGAGCAATGCCAGGAATCTGTCTTTTAAGAGCGTCAGATAAGATCTGTCTCTGTTAATCATTCACAGAGACTTAAAGTAGGGCATAAACCCCATGAAATCCACTCTGTCTTACTGAATAACTTAAAATTCTTAGTGTTGTAAAATAAATTGTCCTCTAAAAAAACAAAGAAGAGATGTTCAGCAGAATTGCATCTGTTTAGGTTACAATATTAATCTCTTCTTGTTACATAATTGAATACAATAGAATGCTTTCTCTCCCTTTATGTGTACTTCACCCAAGAGCCTTGCATTTTCTGTCATTATTCCTCCTCTGACACTGTGGCGATACCCGTGCAAGCGTACTCATCTACACATGGCTACTGAGAATTAACCAGTTATCTTTTTCTAAAATTCAGTTATGTTTTTCTAAAAGCGACACATTTTTGTTCGAAAGACAGATTTTAATGATTCTAGTATCAAATATCCAAATCTTTATAAAATGAGGGCATGAACATGTATATGCAAATAAGTAGGTTATATAGGTGATAGCAGAGTTGACAAATACATTACTTTTACTCGTTTAATTTGACCACAGGTCTGAGCTCTCGTAGCTTTGAATTTGGACAAAGCAACAGCGATTGCATGACGAGGTTCAGGCACTGTGCGCACGTTCGCTTTCTGTCGAGGTTTGCAACAGCCAGGGTGCCCTGAGTTTTGCAGAGAAGCAATTGTGGATGGTGAGCTTCCTTCTGTGGTCTTCCTGTTTCATTACAAAAAATTTGGTGACCGTGAGAGGCAACCAAAGTTTTCAGCTTCACAGTGTGTGTAGGTGTCCACCTGTGATTCTGAACTTATGGGTGGGATTTCTACATCGACCCCTGGGTTTTAATGAAAAACTGTTAACAAATGTAAGAAAAATACAAAAGAAACAAGTTTGCATAAATATATTCCCTAAGAGATTTTTGTAATCTTTGTGAATGCATGGTGTTCCTGCCAATAAACAGCTCTATCAAGAAATAAAAGCACGGTGTGCAAACTTCTTAACATAATGCTGCAAAATATTGCTGTCCTGGCCTGTGTTTCTCCTGCTCCACTTCCTCTTCTGTGCAGGACTGCACAGGGATACCTGGCCACCTCCGCTGAAGGCAAGTTTCGCTTGAGGACCAAGCTTGCAATTTCTCCTCTTCAGAGGAGAAGGAGCTAGTTTATAAGCTGGCTGGGACATAATAAATGCAGTAATCTGATACATTCACTAAATTATCTGTCTGATTTTATATATCCAAAAGTCTTGAA